TGCTGCTAGGATTAGTACCTCAGTGCTGTCTTTTAGTCTAGCTCTTTCCAGCATTACCCATATATATATATATATCAGCAACCAATCATCACTTATATTCCCTGCTTCAAAATGCTAATTTTCAGGATCGCAAATACTGATAATAGTGGGGGGAGATTTTGTAGCTCCTACTTTTTTTTTAAGATAAGGACTAATTCCCTCTCATAAGATTTAAATCTATCTAGTATCGTAATTTTGCCCCAACTCCATTTAAAGATTTCAGTAACAGTATAAAGGCAAAATCTTCAGAGGATATATACTGTAGATGTGTAATGCCAAGAAGTCCTGGAGTATAAATGTCCTAGTGAAATGAAGTTTAGATAAGGTGATCCATCTCAGAGAGCTTTTTGGTTTTCAAGTGCTCCCAGATTGAAAGCCTACCAGAGAGTATACTAATAAGCAATTCAACTCATACTCCCATGTAAAAGTTGATGAGTAAATAGGCAGAGAAAATGTATGTAATCTTGTGAATAATTTTCTAATCCCCCTATTTTCATTTGATATATGCAAAGGCATGAATATGAACCAAAAGAAGGTCTTAAACTGTATTTTTGTTAATAAAAGCTTTTCTAATCTCAATTTTCAAACACTCCAGGAATCTGCAATTCCATTTTCTTTTCACAGCATTAATGAACAATGGACATTGGCAATAGTCTTTTTTTTTCCTCCTGAAAGAACTGCCAAGAATTATAATAAGCCTGTGATATGTAGTGGAGAAGTCTAAACAAGTGTGACTGTTCTGCACAAGTTATGTCATGGCTGCAGACATGCAAACAGGAATACAAAAATGAATCCCACCTAATATAATTCAGAAGGTTGCATAACAGTGGTGAGTGGAGAGAAAAAACTGAATGAAACCAAGTACAGCATACACATCTCATTGTTCATATGCAAAATAGCCCATAGTAGACAGAATGCCTAACATTTTCATTCCACTCTCAGGAATTATATTGTATGGCTTTCCACTCACCCTCAGCCAAACTATCCATATAGCCATACAAGTAGCTTTGGTATTTTCAGGTGTTTCTTTCTATCACAGTCACAAGAGATTCTTTCCAATCTATTCATTTTATGGTCTTAAATCTATAGAACTGGACTAATTACCAGTTTTTCATCTGCCATTGCTTGGACAATAAAGTAAGGTACTGATATTATGTTGGTTTCTTTTCAACATTCAATAATGCAGTCGTAATTTTTTTTCAGAGTAATAAAGATATGTTGGCAGACACTGTTCAGTATTCAGTAAATTGCTGTCAGGAACTTGGTTAGCAACAATCCTTTTAAGGAATACGAAGTTTTCATGGCCTGAAAATATGTTTGTAATATAAACAAAAAAATATATTATCAAAGCAGCCCTCCCTGCAAATGAGAATTATTTTGCAAACATCTTCTATCAGAAAATAATTATAAATTACAATTCTTTACATTTCTAATGAAAAGCTTTAACAGTTAAATTAATAACCATACCCCTAGTAGACTGCTGTTTTTAAACGAATATTTTGTGAGTATCCTATGAGCAAATTTATACAAAGTCTGATTCATACTTGCTTTTCAGTTTAATGGCTGCAACAAGGTTCATATCACTTAAGTTACAATGCTTTTGTTGAACTTAAAAATCCAGGTACATATATAAAAGGACAATACCTATGGGTTAGATAATAAAAATGTAGACTTACTGTAGCATTGAAATAGCTCTAACGTCATAGAACAGCTTCTCAGGAATGTTGTAAAACTGATGTAAAAAAACATGTACAGTTTATTTCAGAGACATGAAGAAAAACTCCAAGTGGCATAACTGACACTAAAAAGACTAGTTCCTTTTGTAGTACAATGTATCTTATTATTTATGACAAGTATATTTCCCCATCTTTTCAGTAAAAACTTATACTCAAGGAGGGGCATCTGTAGCTGCTCTGCCCCCTTTGAAATGGCATGCATTGTCACGATATATGTGTAGAAAAGGGAGGGTTCTTATCACAATGGTGCAATGTTCTTTTCACACTTTGACTGGTTTGACCATAACCATCTGGGCATGGCTATTCCCAAGATTGCTTACAAAAACTCTTCACTTCTCTTTAAAATTTGTTTTGATTCTGTAGATATGAATAGAACATTATGGGAATATCTTCCTCAAGAATATCAGGACAGAGTGATACCAAACCGCAGGATATATACATCTATGCCTTGAAAGATCAGGAGATTCCAGTTATTCTTTTAAGCATTTGACCAGAAATACAATCAGAGGATTGAACAGTTCTCCCTTTAAAATTTAGAAGTTTAGAAATTTTAAAATGTTTTATATTCCTTCCGAGAGTAATGTTTGTAGACCTAACTTTTCTTACTTCTGAAAAATGTCCAGTCCATTGTTATAGTCATATAGTATTTCTGGCACATACAGTACTTTATATTAGATATGTTGTTGTGAAAAACAACCAATATTGATAATATTGGGAAAAGGTGGGTTTTTTTAAATTAAGGCAATGAAGAAAACAAAACTGTATCTTCATTGCAGTTTCTACCTCATTTCCACAGCCAATATTAGAAGCTGTTACTCTGACAATGCCAGGAACAGCTTCAAGTTAATTAAGTGGTTCTGTCTTCTTGAAACAGATGGAGTGAGATGATTGTGAAACGTTGTTTAAAGTGAAACAATGCCAGCAGTTTCAGATTATTTTTAAGAAAAATTATTTTTTTTCAGTATTATATCTTTATACCTGGTATTCAGTGGAACATTTTACTGTAAAAGAAGTTTGAAAGTTGTTTTTTTTACTGGCAATTAATCGAAATCTAATTGACAGCATTTGCTTAAAATGCCTACATTCAAAGATGATATTTAGCCTGTCAGGTAGCATCATCTCTTTTCAGCATGTTTCATTCTTCCTTGAACAGAAAGTAATTTCCAGAATCACATTCAGCACGATAAATCTCCTATTTTCATTTTCTATAGCTGTTCCTATAGAGTTATCCTGTCACAGTGAATTATAAAACAATTGTTGACATATCCAGCTCAGATGAATTTCCACATAACACTGGGCATAGAATGAAGGATTAAATTAAAAGAAAGATGTTGTGGTTTCTAACCACCCTAGTTCATCCTAACCTTAGAAATGGAAGCTTAGAGTTTGCTGGCTAGAAAATCCTAGAAGAAAAAACCTGAGAAAAATCTATGTAGACTTAAGGTAGATAATCACCTAAGCATGTTGTTGGAAAACTTACTAAGCTGAAATGGATGTTATACTGCTTCAGCCAAAGCTTTTTTTTTTTTTAATTATCTTGACTCCTTGTTGGGGATCCACAAAAGGAATCTCTAAAAAAGTATCACCTGGAGGGTCCTGTCACTTGTCACTATCCTACTGGTATTGAAAGAAGTTTTAAATAAGACTCGTGGATGTCTTCTGGAAAGGGAAGGGGCAGGCCAAAACACAGTGCATATACAAAGTGCATATCATAGCCAAATGTTTATTAGACTGGAAAGAAATACCTTTAATATCCATGTTCATTAAGTATCTAAAGCAAAGAAGAACAGAGAACAAGAGAGTTTTTGAGACTTAGAATAGTGGCTATTCTTCATGCTGAATATTTGAGAGGATGGAAGAATGGAGTAGAAAGAGGAGAAACAGATAGTGATGGTGGTAGCAAAGTAGATGCAGTTGTCTACTGCTGCTGCTGCTGTTGCTTTCCTCAGAGCAGAAACTAATAATTGGGAGTTTCCTCGTGCAGTTCACCTTCTTCTAAATCAGGGGTAGGCAACCTTGGCTCTTTTATGACTCGTGGACTTCAACTCCCAGAATTCCTGAGCCAGCACAGCTCAGCTTGGAAACCTCTCCCTTTCCCCTCAGCATGGGTGGCTCAGGAATTCTGGGAGTTGAAGTCCACGAGTCATAAAAGAGCCAAGGTTGCCTACCCCTGTTTTAAGTTCTAAAGTTGCCTCCTTTGGCCCCATATTTATTGGGCTTACTTGCTTATTTCTTAGTACTGGTCCCTCTTCTTCCTCCCTCATATGCATTGCTGTGCTTTTCTTTTCTTCTCTTATACTTTTCTTCTTTGACTGAACCCCTTTGCTTCACCTGAAATGCTTTGATTGGGTCTGCCCTTTCTTTCAATGATTTCTTGTCTCTTTTCCTCCCTAAAATGTGTAGTTAACACTCTTCTTTATCATCTGTTCACCTTTTCCAGTCCATTTTTACTCTTTTCTTGCCCCTATCCACTTTCATTTTTTAGTTTTCTTATGTTTTTTTTTAAAAAGAATATGTGTGTGTGTATGTATATTCAAAATTCCTGTTCAGTTTCTCTTTATAATACAATTATATTGTTCATCCATCCCCCCCCCAGGATACTAACAAAGACTATCAATACAACAGCACATTAAACCATAACAAAAGGGCGGACTGCTCTTCATAACATGTAGAAAAGAAATATGAGAAATATATCAAAAACTTACATTTTGTTTCGTATATCAGTTTATTCACGGGTTTAATCTGCCCAGCTATACCTAGAACCCTTGTTGGCTAAGTGGATGCTGTGATAGAATATTTATTCCTCATGTGTTATTTTTCCATCAGTAATAAATGCTTTACATATATAAGCATTCATATGTTGTTGGTTATTTTACTGATTTCAAGATAAATGTCAGCAGATCATATGCAATAGAATTGCAGAATCTAATATTTGTTCTCTCCTAGTATAATGAAATTGTGCACAAGAAAGACTTTTCTAAACAGATTAGAAGGTTTTAGGTTGTCAGATCAGCATAATGTAAAGTTGATTCTCTGTACCAGATAGTTCCTTGGGGAATGGTGGGGTATGGAGAGAAACTGATTTGCCCAACATTCCTGGATTGATTCCAGAATCCTAAAGTGAAACCAGCTTTCCAAAGCAATAGTGTTACAGTTAGACAATGGCTTGGTGATTTTCTACTTTGCATTACATAAATGTTTTTTTTTTTCATCATCTGCTTACAGCAAGTCCCACCAAACCAGGACGGGGAGGATACCCAAGTTCTGAAGAGGTGGTTCGGGAATCCAGCAGCACGACTGGCATGGTGGTTGGGATCGTAGCAGCAGCTGCTCTGTGCATTCTCATTCTTCTCTACGCTATGTACAAGTACAGGAACCGAGATGAAGGCTCCTATCATGTTGATGAGAGTCGAAACTACATCAGTAACTCAGCACAGTCCAACGGGGCTGTGATTAAGGAAAAGCAACCCAACAGCTCTAAAAGCTCCAGCAAAAATAAGAAAAACAAGGATAAGGAGTACTATGTCTGATCCCAACAACTGGAAAGAACAATTGTATAGAAATAGTCTTCATTTTATCTTGAGACATAAAACAAAACTTATTTACTTTACTTTTTATGAAGCACATACAAAGTTTAAAAAATGGGGAAAGGAATACGGGGAATGCAATTAGAAAGGAAAGACTTTTTAACAAAACAAGGAACGACAAAATGAAATAAGCATTTCATACTCTGGTTTCTCTGAAACGGGAGTCAGTAAACCCCCTTACGTTCACAGTGTTTTCATTTACTCTGCCATCTTTCTGTTGCTGGAATGTTTCTGAAGAAGATGTTGGTACTACTGCACACTCATAAGGCAAAGAGTATTACTCCAAAACATCACCCAGCACAACACAAATTGTGACAAACTGAAACAAACAAAAGATGAAATAATGCACACACCCACAGTAAAGAAGCTACCTATCAGTCTGGATTTAGCCAAAGTGCTAGCACTTTTCTGAGGAGTAAGTCAATCTGATTACCTGACAAGACTTCACCATTCGACACAAGCCCTCAAGAAGCAAAGGTTGAAACTGAGCTTGCCATCTGGTGCAACGAAACAATGATTGGAGCTTGGGTTTGAAGTAAAGTGCTGGCTTTTCTGAATAAACCACATTTAAAAACAACAAGAAGAAAACATTTTTGAAAAAAGCCCCTTTCTGGTTGTGAGGAAAAAAATATAGCGGCCTTATTTTCAAAAATAACAATAAACAAAGAAACAAAATACATGAAATATAAGGCTTATTTTCACACACCGTTACCAACAAATCCTAAACTGAGGGCATAGATGCGATCATTGGAATAAAAAAATCATGCACGCTTAGTATGTTATTACCTATGTTTATATTAAAAACACATCTATATGTGCTTTCTGGACTGTGATAAGTGATGTTTTCTAGCCTGTTGTATAGAAAATGCAAACTATATCTGCTCTTCAACCATTTTTGGTAAACTCAATGTTCTAAGTGTTGCTAGGTATAGAATGTTTTATGACATCTGGAGCAACCAACATTTCTGTTTACTTTTACAGCCATGAGAAACTGCCACACTTTTTATTCCCTTCTTGTCTTCCTTCCTCCCTCCCTTCCTTCTTCCCTTCCTTCCTGGGTTTGATTTTAATTTACAGTGTAGTAAATATACTAAACAGGATGTGTATGAATGTATATAAGAGTCAGCTAATTTTCTTCTTAACTTGTACAGCCTCTCTTCTTTTGCAGTTCAGTTTTAGTAGTTTGTATGAAAGAAGTGGACTTTAGAAAGCAAATATATATAGATATAAACTTCATAATTTTCTTCACCAATTGTCTTTCCTCTCCTATGATACAGCAAGATCAATCACAATTATGTGATTTCAGCTCCTTTCTCTTCTTACCCATTAAACCCAACAACTGCTGATTTAAGTGACCTTTACACTCTAGTTCAACTTTCTGGCTACTTGTCCAGGAATTGAGAAAAAGGTTGAATTCCATGATACCTTTCATCTAAACCTTTATTATCATTTGCTTTTTATTTATAGTACATCATTAGAGAGTTGGTTGGTAAAGAAATTCAGAAATCTGCCCTTTAAAGTACTTTAGCTCCTCTCACTAAAGCCACCCCAAGTTAGGAAAAATACTAATGTTCTCGACATAAACTATACAAAACAAGAACAAAAGTTGCACCTTTTGTCAAATGAGGAATGATTCTCCTTTTAACTTTTTTTTAGTTACCCAGCTCTTACTCTGAGCTTGAACAGAATTTCTTCTTCTAAGGTAATGAGTACAGTGGTTTGGTAAAAAACATTCTCTAAGATTCTCTGCAAAGATACGTGACTAAACATTACAAAACATTCTGGTTTATATACATGCTTATGTTACAAATTTGCAAGTTTGTTTTTTTAACAACAACAAAGTGACTGCTGCACTGGGTTCCCAATGATATGTCATTCTGTAGCATCTTACTTAGAGAGATACAAATACATTACATGGAAAGATAGTTCGGTAGAAAATCTGCCTTATCGTAGAAGGACTCCTGGGAGGAGTAGAATTGTTCACACTTTACAGACAGGAAAAAAAGGAATTTAAAATTAGCTTTAATCAACAAGGCACTGTATTTTCTTGTATGCTGTTTGCTGCTGTTAAGGCAAAAGACTGGGAACTGGTGTTCAACAGAGCAATACTTTAGAAATACAGTAGAACACTGCTAAATGATTTGTATAATATGCTTTGTATAAAGGGCTTGTGAGAGAAGAAAGGATGATGCATGTGACTATCTGAAGGCTATTTTGCGCTCAAGATAATCTGAAATTGTTTGGCCAATTGTCCTTGTATCTACCACCTTTTGCTGAGGGGAGGGCAGGAATAGGTTCATCCTGCATTATAACCATGACAGAAACCTGGCAAGCCATCAGTGAAGAATGGATATTCATAATCAGGAGAAAGAGTTTAAGCTTTGTTATTCACCTATGGCAAGGTTCATATGTGACTTCATATACTCGCTTTGTTACCCAACCTTTCCCCCAAGCAATTAACATACTTACTTTAAAGGGTAAGTGATGGGAGATTGCTACTTCTAGCAAAGATATTTCAAGTTGATTTTTAAGGAGTTACTCCTGTTCTTGTTGATTTTGTGATTTAATAATGAGCAAAAAGTGTTTGCATTTATCAAATGTTTGCAGTAGCTATATTAAAACACTGTTTTTTTCCAAAATTGCAATTGTTTAAGTAATTATGGTATAGATATTATTAGATTAAACAAACTGATTGCGACGTTAGGATACGTATTAATCCCCCCTTCCCTAGTCAAGGTAAATTCAGTAACCCTGATGAAGACCTATTTGTACGGATCCTAAGACGACCCTACTCTACCGATACCTAACAAAAAAATAATGACATAACACAACAGAAAAAAAAAAACAAAACACTAAAAGAATATGTGAAATTATTCATTCCCAAAATATTAAAAAAGGTCAGAAGCCCTTAACCTTATAGTGCTTTCTGTGATAGATATTTACAATTTTTTTTAATTGTTGCAAGGCCAATTTATCCATTATTGGAAATGCTAAGCAAGTGGAATTTACCGTTTTGTTAATAAAATGTTTCTTAATACAATTGGTGGCTCATTATTTTTCAGCTCTTTGCACTGTAAGTCTGTTATCATCTTTACTCATCATTCCAGAGATTGAGGTCAAAAAAGTTGAGGCTGTGGCCACAACTGTGTGATCAAGGCATCACCTCTTTTTATGTGTGCCATTGGATGTAATTGGATGGATCAAACACATGAAAAAGGAGCAGGGTTTCAATTGCCCAATCACAGAAGCCACAAAAAAATACATGTTTGACCCTCTATGGGGATACTCCCTGAAATTTGTGTAGTCCCCAAATCAGTTTCAATTCTCCCAAATTTTCCTCTTAATTATTATGTATGAAGCAGACCCACACAAGCTCATTCATATTAAAAGACCAGGTGCCCACAATTGAAAATTAAGGAAGACTGTATTAGACATATCTTAGTGTTTTTTTTAATAGAGGGTTTTGATCTGATTCACACATTGCTATGTTCACAGTTTATAAAATGAAATACAATTTATTGAGTTTGCTGAATAACACTAAGACATAAATTACAGTTTAAAAAGTACTATGGCTGGAGCCATAGAATGCACTGAAGCATAATCAAACAAGCAACTTTATAACTTATTGAGGTGTCTGAACTCAATTTTTGTATTAGGAGTGATTAATCATAGCCTGTGCTCAGACTTGTGGGCTGATTACATGGACTGAAATTAATGTGGATCAAGATGCAGGCAAAAAAGAAAATGTTCTTCAAAACTGCCCTCAGAAAAAAAGAGAAAGCTGATCTCTCTTATCTCATAAAATAAAATAAAAAACTAATTTCAATTACAGGAACAGAAAAGTCTTATTACAACAAATGGAAATGTGGATGGTAAAACTGTATAATTGTGTCTACAGATAATTCAGACTTTTACTGATGGTCATCTTTAAGCACAAGCCATCTCTAGCCTTAGATCCCTGCATCAGGCAAGGAAATGAACTAAACAGCCTTGGTGGTACAGTGGTTAGAATGCAGTATTCGTCCGATTGAGACGGGTGTCGGTCTGCAAGTTCGGACTGTCCCGAGCTCTAACTGAGTCACAAGGTAGGAAGACTCCAACCATTTTACTCTTGGGTCTACTACTGTAACATGTGACGAGTCTCTTAAGACATTTCGTGATACCTTGTCAAATATTCAGATTCACGATAACGATTCACGATTTGCAGAAATTAGAGAAGTAAATCCTATGATTCTATAAAGACGAAATGACTCCTATGTTTGCAATGGGGACAGTACTGTAACTACAGAGCTTATCGTTAACTCCTAGTTTATTCCTTTTTTGTCATGCAATTCCAATGTTAGAGCTGCTCATTGCACATAAATCCTAGCTATGTACCAACAAGAACTCTGAAATCTGGAGTGAAACATCCCTAGTAAAACCATTATGCAGATTTGTATTTAATGTGATTTATGAAGGATGGAACTGTTTATACTACAATCTGCCAAATCAGACACAATTCACAGTCAAGTACAGAGACTGGCAGTTCTTTAGAAATATGAGAAAGATATTGAACTCTAAATGGCTGTCATGTATGACTCATCTTGGTGCCAATACAAAATGTCCAAACAAGAGTTTGTTTCAATCAAAGGGGACATACTGGAAATGAATGTGATTTGTTGCTGTGTTTACAAGCAGTTATAGGTCATTCTTAACTACCAATACATGGAGCTTTCAAATGAGTTTAGACTTAAAATGGATATGATTTGGAAACAAATGCCAAACTTTCTTCTTTGCTATTTTGATTGCAAATGTTTATTCTCACAAATGAGAAAGACCTCTGATTTTTAGAATGCGTTAGAAGAAAATTTAAGTTCACCATACAGGAATTCCAGTACATACAATCTACAGGTAGTTCTTGACTTACAACCGTTCATGAAGTGACTGTTTTAAGTTACAACAGCACTGGAAAAAAGTGACTTATGATCATTTTTCACACTTATAACCATTGCGGCATCCTGATGGTCATCAAAAT